GTTGAATTGAAATTGGAATATTTAGAAATTTAGGTTGCGAAATTTAAAGGTTGAATTGAAATTGGAATATTTAGAAATTTATGTTGCGAAATTTAAAGGTTGAATCGAAATTAGAATATTTAGAAATTTAGATTGCGAAATTTAAAAGTTGAATTGAAATTAGAATATTTAGAAATTTAGGTTGCGAAATTTAAAGGTTGAATTGAAATTAGAATATTTAGAAATTTAGGTTGCCAAATTTAAAGGTTGAATTGAAATTGGAATATTTAGAAATTTAGGTTGCGAAATTTGAAGGTTGAATCGAAATTAGAATATTTCGAAATTTAGATTACGGAGTTTATGAATAGTTTTTGACAGAAAGAAGACTGTTGTCAATGTATTGTGGATATTTCGAAGACAACGGAAATAGGATGTATTTTTGATCACAGTCTGGAAAAGAGAAGAGTGCATTATCATGGCGTTATAAAAATATGTCACATTTACAAATTTAAGTTATTGCGAGATTGTGGATTTTTATACAAGTTCGTGTTTTTGGGAATATGATTGAAGGACAGAATTGTGGTTAAAAATATTATTGGGAGCAATGTATTTTGCATATTTTTCGTATCCCTATAACGGGAACAGAACATATCTTTTGTCACACAGTCTAAAAGAGAGCTTGTATTATTATGCACTGAGTAAAATTATCACATTTACATATTTAGGTTATTACGAAACCTGTGGATTTTTATCCAAATTCGTATTTTTGGGAATGATAGACCTTTGATTGAAAATTGAATGACAGAACCTTGGTTGAAAATATTTTTTCAACTATATTGAAAAAATCACTATATTTTGGATATTTTATAGAAGATCTCCTGTGAACAGAAACAATTGAAAATATTAATCAAAATTATCGTATTTACAAATTTTAATTGTTACTAGATTTTGGATTTTTGCGCGAATTCGTATTTTTAAAAATATAATTGAGAAATTACCCTTATCTACATTATTAATATTATTTACCTTTCAGAAACGACATCTGTGCACTGAACCGACTCTTGTACAACTTTTTTCAACAAAAATTATTTCAATAGTACAGTAAATTTTTATCTAAAACTTCCTTTAAAATTTTATTAAAACTTTATTTTTATCAGTAGACAACAACGAGAAATTCAGATAACAAAAGCTCACTAGCTTCCTCTCACTTCAATCAACATGCAAACATCATTATTTAACAACTTTTATTATTATTATTAATATAATTATAAAGTGAATGAAAATTACGAAACAGTCTGAAGCATATTTGGATATTTTATACCAAATAATTGACACAGAGATGTCAGAAAAAAAGAACAGCTTATTCCCGAGGAAATCATGTTTAAATTATATTGAAATTCGCTTAATTCCGGACTGTGCACGGAATGAATAATGACGTGCGAAATTAAGCGAATTCAACGAACGAAAATAAGTGAGATACGTATAGAATAAAACTTTCTATTTCAGGATTCGCGTATATTTTTCATATTACGCGCGTCCTCTGCGATTTTTCACTTGCAAAATTTCCTACACAATGAATAAAAATCCGCAATTTCGTTAACAACACATTATTTTCCACCGTGGCAACTAATGGGTGATCCTTGTACATCGAGTACGAATGTAAAAATTTCCATCCATTATCCTGTCAATTTTCGAGAATATTCAGAGAAACGCAAGATTTCAATTTTCAACGCTTTTTGTGTTGTTAACTGTGAATGTATTTTTACATAGTGTAATTCTACACACTTTGCCTAATATAATAATATATGTGTTTGCAAAGAAATATTGCAAAATAATTTATTATATTTAATTTCATTTATATAGAGGCTGTGTTACCTAATCCAAACTTCTTTCAAAATCGTTTCGTTGTAGGAAAAACTAATTATTAAGGAACGTCGATGTTTATTCTGTCAAAAGATGAAATCTTAATAATTTAACAATCGTCGATAGTTCGACGATTCGTACCACTGTCTAAATGTTCGTTTCTCGATGGAACGATATAGAATCAATGTTCTTAGCTCCTCGATTTCGCGTTTGAATTTTTCAAAAAAAACTGTACAGCCAATTTTCCAGCCACGCGCGGCGCAAACTACCGCAGCAGGGTAAACGAAACGAGAACAGAGAGAAGCAAGCCACAGAGAGAACGCACGGGGAGAGAAAAAAAAAATATATATATATATATGTACATATAAAATGTGACACGAGTTTCGAAACCGGTTCGGTTAGAGTCTAGTCTCGTAGCCGAGATTCGGAATGAATTTCTTTTTTTTTTTTCTTTCTTTCTCTTGTTGCTCCATACGTGTGGAGATTCACGTACGCTTTGCACGCGCTTTGTGTGTGTGTCCCGAGGAAAAGCACGAACGAAAAAAAGAAAAAAAGAAAAAAAAAGATACGCACCCTCGAGAGAACGAGAGAGTTTCGCAGATACGAATAACGATCGTTGTTGCATCCCTCCTCTCTTCCACCCCGACCCGCTCTTCTAGCATCGGGACACGCAGGAAACGCTGACAGTCCTCGACAGGTTGGACCTCGATACCGAGAAGCCGACGGACGAGGAACTGGCAAGGAAGTTCGGCTTCGAGGAGGCGTATTACGAGGGCACTCTCACGTGGTGGCAGAAGCTCAAGCCTCAAATGTGGTCGCTGTTCGATGAGCCCTACTCCTCGCTGGCAGCCAAGGTTCGTACAGACTTCCATATTCTTTGCGTTTCTCGCGCGCGCACCGTGTCCAGTTTTAATCTGGAAATGGAATTAACCAGACCGTGTCCACGGATCCTGAAAATGATTCGGTGAAATCGATTCGTTCGCACTTAATTTCTTTTCTCTTCTTACATTCTCTCGGATAAATGGAATACTCTTTTTCCAGTGTTGCATCTTTTCATTTTCTGTAAAACAGCATTGCGTCGGAAAACTAACTTAATTCAGGAGATATTTTAATTTCAATCTATTTTTTTTTTTTTTTTTTTTATGAAATCTGTGTAAGAGAATAAAAGACAAGGTTTTCCTGTGATGGTTGTCTTTTATTCTCGTGCATGAATTTTATAAAATTAAAGTTTTGTCAGATTAAAATTTTATAAAATTAAAGTTTTATAATATTAAAGTTTTATAAAATTAAAGTTTTATAATATTAAAGTTTTATAATATTAAAGTTTTATCAAATTAAAGTTTTATAATATTAAAGTTTTATCAAATTAAAGTTTTATAATA